ATAACAACTCTTTAAAGTTATTTAATGGATAATCATAAATGGTCTTACTATACTTAATAATTGCAAAAATAATATAGACTTCGCTTTAGAAAAAAAATATCATGTTAACGAAGAATGAAGTACAGTATTGGATAAGGTCATATACTATACGTTTTTTTTTTTAATGGTAATCCTCTTTGTTCATTTTATTTGTCATAATAACAACGAATGATTTGTCATATATGTTTATTAGTGCTGTTGAGGGTAGTATTTTTTGTTATCACAACTTATGCCAGGGGACTTGAAAGTCACACACTTATCATTTACTGATGATTTGCTAATATTTGATGGTTCGATAACTAATTCAAGGATTTATAAAAATTCTGCAGCGTTCATAAGAGCTTTTTTCTAAGGATCAGGGAAGCCGAGATAATTTTTGTTCCTAATGTATTTTCGACCTCTATTTGCATTAAAAAAAAAACCCTCTTATATGCTGATGATGAGCCACTGATTAACATGGTCATTCATCACTTGCATATCGTATTTAAAACATATATATAAACATACATGTTGTAATCAAACAGTTAACGTTGAAAATGTAGTATCGCAAAACAACACCAACCAAGTTTTCTCACCATTTACAAAACGAACAAAATTCTACTGCAGTTCATTCAAAGAATACACTTTACAGTTTTGTAATCTTTAAACGCATGTGACCTACTCAACACCCCCAAATAATGGATGGTTTAAGTGCCATTTCATTTTAAAAATATTCGAAAAAAACAGGGATGAATTTATATATCAATATAATTTTTGAGCTGTACCATTGTTTTTAATCAGTATTTTTTACCATTTTTAACTATTTAATTTTACCAATATGTGTTACCAGTCAAGATTCATTATCAGAAAGTACGTATACTTAACTATTCATAATGACAATTGACGGATTTCATTGTCAACAGTAAGTGGACTCTTCTAAAGTCCGTGTGCTATTCTCTTGAATAAACCAAATTATATTGTCATTAATAAGTGCGATGAATTTTCTTTTTGCGAAAATAAGTGCGAAGAATTTAGTGCTAACAATTGCCTAATAGCTTCGTGCATTATTCTAAAATGCCACAAAAACTTTTGTTAGTGTTGTACTGTTGTGAATGTGATTGGCAATTTTTGCAGTGGCAAGAGGTCTACCACCTTATATTACAATCAATCGACGAAAAAGTTGAGAACATGACAATGGTGACAAATACAAACGGTTTTGGTGAATTGTC